CCAGCCCTTCTAAGAACGAGCCGCTTTGTCCACAGCAAATTTCCGGGGCATTCCTTTTGTGCCCCGGCCGAACGAGCTTTAGAAAGGTCCCACCTACACGTGTCCATCAGCCACACTGGATTAGTTTTTCTGTTCCAGCGGGGCTTACAGGCCCAGCTGTCCAGGTTCCATGCAAACCTCTGGCGCAAAACACCGCCTGCCTCTGAAGAATGTGCAGTGCGAACAGAGCCCCTGGAATAAGGCTGGGAACTAACGTGGTGCGGGTGCTGCTGTTACCCACTGCACAGTGCAAGCACTGCCCCTGGAATGGGGAACTGCCGGGGGAGCTATGCCATCGGTACGGAGTGCCGAGTACTTTCTCGGGGCTTGCTTACACCACATCAGTGTGTGACAGCCGTGCCTTGAGGCCTGGATCACAGCATAGCCCGCTTGCCAGTTAACACCTCGCCCCTCCAAGTTGGCGCGAGAAGGGGGAGAGGTGGGAAAACCTGCCTGACAGTGAGAGGCTCCCGGCGTTTCGTTAGCGGGCGATGTGACTAGGGCTGCCAGGGGTCTGGTTCTCGACTGGCACGCTTGGTCGAAAAGGGACCCTGGGGGCTCCGGTCAGGCCGTCCAGCCCGAGCTGTCCTTGGCACTGTCGCGCCTGGCCAGGCAGTGGGGAGAAGCCTACCAGGGACGTGATGGCACGAGGCAAGCTGGTTTGCACAGGACAGCTTCGCTAGTGGGGCCACACGCCCATTGCACTCTGGAAAAAGAGAATCTTGCTCTATAAGCAGTGACAGTTCTCTGAAAACTACCACACAGTGTGCAGCGGCGGTCAAAAAGAAAAATAGGATGCTAGGAATTATTAAGAAAGGGATAGAAAATAAGACCCAGAATATCTTACTGCCCCTGTATAAAACTATGGTACGCCCACATCTTGAATACTGTGTGCAGATGTGGTCTCCTCACCTCAAAAAAGATATTTTGGCCTTGGAAAGGGTTCAGAAAAGGGCAACTAAAATGATTAGGGGTTTGGAACGGGTCCCATATAAGGAGAGGTTAAAGAGACTGAGACTTTTCAGTTTAGAAAAGAGGAGACTGAGGGGGGATATGATAGAGGTCTATAAAATCATGAATGGTGTGGAGAGGGTGAATAAAGAAAAGTTATTTATTAGTTCCCTAAATAGAATGTTATGTTCTTATGTTCTATGTTCTAAGAACTAGAGGACACCAAATGAAATTAATGGGTAGCAGGTTTAAAACTAATAAAAGAAAGTTCTTCACAAAGAGTGTAGTCAACCTGTGGAACTCCTTGCCAGAGGAGGCTGTGAAGGCTAGGACTATAATAGAGTTTAAAGAGAAGCTGGATAAATTCATGGAGGTTAGGTCCATAAAAGGCTATTAGCCAGGGGATAAAATGGTGTCCTTGGCCTCTGTTTGTCAGAGGCTGGAGAAGGAGGGCAGGAGACAAATTGCTTGATCATTGTCTTTGGTCCACCCTCTCTGGGGCACCTGGTGCTGGCCACTGATGGCAGACAGGATACTGGGCTAGATGGACCTTTGGTCTGACCCAGTACAGCTGTTCTTATGTTCTTATGTTATGTTCTTATCCTTGCACAGGAGGTAGAGGGGGAAGAACACCTGATATATTTAAGTTGGAAATTATTTCCCAGGAAACGGGCCTACGCCACAATAGAGAAAGAAGCGCTGGCTGTAAAATGGGGAATAGAGTCTCTAAGGTACTACCTCCTGGGAAGCTCTTTTACATTAATAACAGACCATACCCCCCTGAAATGGTTACAATCAATGAAGAAGGTGAATCCTCGTGTAACCAGATGGTATCTGGCATTGGAACCGTATAAATTTAAAGTAGCACACAGACCGGGGAGTCAACATAAGAACACGGACTTCCTCTCACGGATGACAGAATCAGAAGAGACGAAGGTGGAGGAGGAGGAAGAGGACAGAGACGTAAAGGGGGGATGTTTGTGAAGGGGAAGCGGGACCTGAAGGCAGGAGTCCCACTCCCTGCAGTAAAGGCAGATGGAGCCCCTGTGCGGCGGGGGGA